CCCTGCCAACCCCCACCATTCTGTGATTCTCTGTGATTCTGTGATTCTGTCTCCACCTGAAGATGGTATATATATTTTTTTAGGCTGTACAATGTTAGGAGAGCGAAACTTCTTGTCTGTTGTATCTTCTGGCCACCCTTCTGGCAAATATTCAAGATGGTTTTTCACCGCTGGGTACTGCTTTCTGCCTGACCCAGGCAAACAGAGTGGGAGGTTTCATCGGGACATTGTAGACTCTCATAAAATGTCGGCAGATGTCTTAAGTGAGTTTTGGCCATTGATTCCTAAGGTGTATTTCTTCTCACTTTGAAGAGCTGCTAATACAGAGGAACTTCATAATTGCACAGAATTTTTTAAATTTTAGTGTGTGCTTTGCCGCATAGCGAGGCCGGGTGTTTTGGGTGGAAGTGGCTTGTGCCAGTGACCGCTTGGCCTTAGGAGATGAAGTCAAGGAGAAGGCTTTAGAAAATGTTGGGATAATAGTACAAGTTTGTACCTGAGTTTAAATTTACCAGTTTCTAACAGAATAGCTTGTTTTAATTGTGCATGTAATTCTGGGCGTACAGATGTTGCAGTTCTAGTAGGAGCACAGCCTAGATCTGGTATTGTGCATGCACACAAGTGTCTGTCATGACTGTGCAAACTGTGGTTTTCCAAAGCATTCCTGGGCCAGATGCAGGCAGATTTGGATGAAGACAGCATCGTGTGTTGTGTAGGACAAGAGATCCAAGATCCCACACGGCATCTCGGGGTGCAGAAGGCAGCGGGGAAAGGGCTGCTGCGGATCTCTGAAGTAAAAAGCCAGTGTTCGAACTTCGAAAAAACTACTGCATTAGGTCTGTTCCTGAAAATAGGTGAAACATTTGCTTGAATTTTCAAAACAAATGAGGTTTGCGTGTCTCGCGTGCGGATTTCATCCCAGGAGGTTAAAGCCTGGCAAAGTTACAAGCGAGGGAGAGCAGAGTTTTGTGAAAGAAGATGTTTGTTCTGATTTATAAACGTAAGGTTACCAAATGTGGTAGGCCAAAGGGTGTCTCTGTTACATCAAGATTGTTGTGGAAGTCTCATTCTTTTCTGTATTTCAAAAAATAGATTTCGTTTTTAGCCTGTGGTCGTATTAATTTGTGTTAGAAATGTACTTGGGAAGAAAGTCCGGCTTGCAAAATAATTTTTGTTGGGTGTTTTTTTTGTTGTTCTCACAGCTGCGTTAGAGATTAAATTGCTTTTTCCTTTTGTTCCGTGAGGAATTCTCGTGGTGAGTTGTGATTACCTTTGAAAAGTGTATGCCTTCATGTAAATAGAACAGAAAATGTGTGTGTTGTGTAGCGTGCAGTTCCAGCCAGGAGGAATAATTTCTCTTCAAACTGTGCTCGCACTGTCGATGTGATCTGGCACATACCTGGGTTGTGGAAGGGGGGATTTGGTACACGGAGTTAGATCAGAGCTGGGTCTGTTAAAAACCAACCAAACACTACTGTTAGTTTGCAGTTTTGTATCAGCAGAAAGAACTGGAAACGGGCAGATAGAGATGGGGAGAAAGTAGTGTCGCCCCATCTGGCAATAGCACTGATTTATGCCGTACGAAGCTGGCTGCGGAGCTGTAATGCTATTTTCAGAATGAATTAGTACGCTTCATTTTATGCCTTCATCAGCTCCCTTACTGCATCGTGAAATGGGCAGTTATTCCAGTTATTCTTGCTGAAATAGTGCAGCAGTATTGATACATAACGGGGCAAATAAACACAGTTTACCTTCAGTTGCTTCAGCGCGTGTGCTTTATTTGTAAATACGTTATTTGCAGTGATTTGCTTTGTATCAGATGAATTATTGAATTGAGCTTGTACAGCTTCAACATAGAAAAAATAATTTCCTGTGTTTTCTTTTTTAGCCTTCTGTTGAGTCTTCAAGCCCAGGTAAATATTTTTTTAATATTTCCTAAACTTGCGAGGGAAGAGGGCATCCTTGAAAAATGATTTCTGCCGGTCTCCCAGTTAGCAATCTGAGGGTATCGTTTGCTGCTTGGCTCGGTGACGGTGCTGGTTGAAGGGGTCGCTGCTGGTGGCGTGGCTGCCGTTGGCCTTAGGCTTAAACACAGCACCCAACGCGAAGGTGCTGTGCGCTGGCAGTTAGGGGATACACCGTTGCTGTCTGGTCCTATGCTGAACAGCATCAAGAACAAAAGCAGCAAGGAAAGCAGAATTTTTTCACCTCATTGGATTGCTAAAAATGAGGGGTTTCACGACTTCTGTTTTCAAAGCTGGTTATTTTCTGATGTTCCAGTGTCCCAGAGCTACTGGCTGTCTAGAGTCAGCCGAAGTGTAAATTATGAATATCTGTGGGTTTTTTGTTCGTTTTGGTACCGCTGTACTTAGTGTGATTTATTTCCAAAGTTTTTGGCATCCTACTGGTGGAAAGGCTTTCCAGTAGTTACTTTAGCTGGGCTGCTGTTGTCTCTTGAGCTCCTATTTCTTTCGGAGAAACAATCAATTGCTTTAACACGTCGGACTACAAAGTATGGTGACGCCTTGCAGTCAGCCCCTCCCTCTGGCAGCCGTAGCGTGGGTACAGCTCTTCAAGCCTTGGAAAATGAAATTTAAACTGTCTGTGGAGACAAGTGGAAAAATGTTAGCAAGGTTAGAATGAGCAATCAGGTCTTGCTGAATTACAGAAAAATGCTGCACCTGCCAACCCATTCATCCATTCCTTTGTTTTTCATTGTCATAAAATATAACCAGACTTCTTTACAAAGAGCCATGAAAAAAACTGCACGGGGAAAAATAACTAAGGATTCTGCATCATAAATAAAATCTGCATAACTGTGAAGCTTACTTTAAATTTTGAAAAAAGTCATTAGTCTGCCTTTGTAGTTGTAAACAGAAAGCTTGCAAAGCATCAAGGCAACAACTACCCTCAATTGGTATTTTATGAGTATTTCTGCTCCCAGTAGAACTCTCGATTCAGACAGGTTTACAGCTATTTAGGAACGAAGTCTTCAGAAACTGAACACGTTACAGACATCTTAACTAGGGGCCCTGTGTGCAGGTGTCGAGCGCTTTGGGAAGTGGCTGGTTAAACAGTAGCTCCTGGTTCTCTCTTCTCCCCGCTCAAAGGACAGCTTTCACTGTCCGCCGGTAACCAGATTGGCTTTCCCTAAGATAAATGATGGAGGGATTTCAAGATATTTTAATTTCTCAGTATAACTTGAGTATTAAAATGTCACCAAAATAAAAAACTAAACTCTGTGAGGCCATGATCTAACTAAAAACATTCTTTAAAATGTTTTCTATCAGGAGGTTCAGCAACATCTGATGACCATGAATTTGATCCATCAGCTGATATGCTGGTGCATGACTTTGATGATGAACGGACATTAGAAGAGGAGGAAATGATGGAAGGAGAAACAAACTTCAGTTCTGAAATAGAGGATCTTAACAGGGTAGGTAGCCTTAAGTAGTCCTAAAACATAACCACAGCCCGCAGCCTCACACAAAACACGCACAGGTTTTTTCCCTTTTATTTGGAATTGAAAATAAACCACTCCTAAAACACTAACAACAAATAATATAGAGGGGGAAAGAGACTGAGCTAAATTTACAGTTCTCAAAACTTGGGGAAACTGGTACATAAATGCTTAATAATGTGTAACGCTGTGCTTGTTTAGTTTCTTTTTGCATATATGTGCTGGTAGAGGATTTGCATTTTAGAGCTAATATAAATTAAAAGTATGCTCTGACTAAACTTGTATATTCCACTGTTGTTATTTTCTAAAGCACTTACACTTGATTAGTGCATGTGGATTTTGATTTTTTTTTGAAAAATCCCATAATTTTACATTTCTTTCGCATTTTTATACAAACATTTGTACAATACTGTAGGGGAGCGTGTAGGAGTATCTTCAATTTTAAGGCAGAGGAAACGGAGATGCAGGTGGAATGGCTGACCTGAAGCAAAGAGTTGTGAGCAGAGCTGGGATCAGAACTCACAGTTCTTGAGAACAGCGATAAATAAATCTTAAAATGTGTATTTTCTGAAATAATTGCGTATAGGATATATTTGGCATTTTGAAATTATGCTGTCACTTATGTATTGTCTTAAATTACTTCTCAGGCAGGAATAATATTCTTAAATTATAAACTAGGTTTATTATAAATGCAAAGTAATTTAGATACAGTCTGTGGCCTCATTGGCTGAAAAGGCTTCCAGAACAGATCATTAATGATTCTGAGATGCATATTCGATGTATAAATCTGATTTAGTGTAAGTGATTATGCAGTATGACTTTAAATTAATTCCATGCCGTTAAACTAAATTTTGGGTGTAAATGATAATTTCTTTCTGGCAGTTTCGGGTTTGATATGAAATGGTAAATGTAAAGATAAATAAATAGTCTGGCCAATGTGGCTGTGGGATAGCAGGCCGCGCATCAAGGCTTCCTTTTACCTCTTTTGGTTTTTACTCATGGGTGATAGGCAATCTGAATCTCAAAGCTGGTGTCAAGACAAGGGCTCTCCTGTCTCCTGCTTTGCCCCAGCGTTTCCACGTATTAGTGCAGATTTCCTCCAGGCTGTGAGTGTGCCTGATTCACGAGTTCAGCTCCTCCAGCGGCCAGCTGGCGGTCGGGTTTTGCAGAAGCGTTTTTGAACCTTAATGGTTTCGCTCCTGACTCAGAAAACCTACACCTTCCTCTGAGGGTGAGGATCTTTTCTACTTGTTGGTCGAAACTCTGGTGAATCTGAAATGCGTTAGCACTTGAGGTTGAGCAGCATCCTGCGTTTGTGCAGGTATGTGTGTGCAGGATCACAGAATCCCAGGATGGGCAGGGTGGGCAGGGACCTCTGTGGGTCACCCAGCCCAACCCCCTGCCCAAGCAGGGTCACCCAGAGCAGGGGGCACAGCACCGCGGCCAGGGGGGTCTTGAACATCTCCAGAGAAGGAGACTCCACAGCCTCCCTGGGCAGCCTGTTCCAGGTCTCCATCACCCTCAGAGGGAAGAAGTTCTTCCTCGGGTTCAGCTGGAAAACTGGTTCAGCTGGAAAACACAAATTTCTGTCTAAATGGCAGTAGCCTGTCTGCGGCTCGCGGCCTGCAGTCCCCTCTCTGCTGCTCTGGTGTAGGAGAAGTGCAGTTCCCTGAGAGCAGAGCAGTACCTGCGGGGCATCAGAAGTATTGGATTTGGTGGCTCTCAGCGATATTTCTTGAAAGGTAAGAGCTTTCCTTGAGCAGGAAGGGTCATCTGCGAGGTGGGACAGCAGGTTGCCTTTGGTCAGGTCCACACATGTGTTCAGTAGTACTGTTTTCGTCGGTAGGAGCATCTCTACCAGGCAGAGCTCCTACTCTGAGCTCAAAGCCCCAGCTGGAGGCAGGGTGACGTGGAGGGTCTGGTGAGCGTGAGGCCGGGTTCTGTACCTTGGTGCTGCGCTGTCTGCAGGCAGAACACTGCTGGGCGGTGGGTGCTGGCTTCCTGGGTGCTGCTGGGGAGAGGGAGCCCTGGCCAAGGCTGCCCAGAGGGGCTGTGGAGTCTCCTTCTCTGGAGATATTCCAGCCCCACCTGGACAAGGTCCTGTGCAGCCGGCTCTGGGTGACCCTGCTTTGGCAGGGGTTGGGCTGGGTGTCCCCAGAGGTCCCTTCCAACCCCGACCATTCTGTGATTCTGGTGTGCAGCCGGCTCTGGGGGACCCTGCTTTGGCAGGGGTTGGGCTGGGTGTCCCCAGAGGTCCCTTCCAACCCCGACCATTCTGTGATTCTGGAGCATGGCGGGTGCTGTGCGCGCTGCCTCCCGGCACCGCTTTACAGATTATTAAGCTTTTGACTCCCCCCCCTTTTCTCGTTTGTTGTTTGATATCATCACTTGGTTTCTCCTTTTGGGGACCCCCTTTTCAGGGAGGGCTCTTGGGTTTTCTGAGGGTTGTGCACCAGCATCCTCTTGCCTGTCAAGGAGAGCAGCGTACACGGAGGCGGGCAGGGCTTCTCCCAAACACTCCTCCAGCCTCTAGCAGGGTGCGGTGCAGGCACCTATGGCAGAGATGCTGTCTCTTTGTCTGTAGCGCCTGTCAGTCTTGGGTTTCCTCCTCCCATGGATCTGTCCGTTTTATTTTTAACCTCGGTAGCCTGGGCGTCCTCGAGGCCTGTGGCAGCGCTGGGCGGCTCATTCCGTGTGAGAAACACGTCTGGGTTCTCAGAGCTGTTCTGTGTTCCCTCTGGGGGCTGCCCCGGAGCTCCGCAGTCAGCAGAGCGTAGAGTAGAGCCGTCTCTGTTGGCCTTCTCTGTGCTGCTCAGAGACAGCTCTGTCCCGTTGCTGCCCCTCACCTCCGCTCCAGGCGCACGAGTCAGAGTCCATTTCTTCTTCTTAAACATCTTCCATACAGGGAATTTCCATGTCCTTGATAAGACTTGGTACTTTCTTAACCTTTGCTATTTTTGCAATATCCTGAAACGATGCAGGAATTGTGATTTGTATTTTATCATGGGGAGTCACTGACCCTTGGGGCTTTTTGAATTGTGATGGAGTGTATGAAGTGAAGAGGCTCTACCTAAGAAAAATGTTGTAAATACAATACCACTTTTCTGGGTAACATATCGTAATATGCTCATTACATCGTTCACACAGACCTACAAATTGTTGTAAATGTTCTTGTGAATCCTCAGTCTGTATCTACAAATGGGATAGTGGTGAGGAGCGCTTAGTGAAAGTATGTTCCTTTCCAAAACGGACTGGAGAACGTTTGTTTGGGTAATTGTGAACAGGATTTTTCTGATAGCTGTACTGTCAGGTTTTAATTAAGATCACAGTCCTGTCATGTTGGCTGTGTCAGTAAAATATTAGTTCCCCACTTCTAAGAGTTCTTTCCATAAAGTGAGAACACTGGGGACCAAGAAGTCAGGAGGGAAGGGGAGGGTGTTTAGGTCCACCTAGTCTGCATCTGCTCTGTGTGTAGCTTAACCCAAGAGTAGACCCATAAGTGGTAGAATGGCTTAGTTCTTTGAAGTAAAATAAAATAAAATACACAGACAACAAGTACCAGTAACCCCTGTGTAACTCTTATTTTCACACAGCAGAACTAACTCCCCTTGCCTGTTGTAATTGGCGTCGTTAGTATGCTTCCAGAAACCAGAGGTGTGTTGATCCGTGGAGGCCCTGAGGAAAGGAGGTCGCTGGAGGAAGTCTAGGGTCGGCTGATAACTAAAAAAATCTGATTATCAGCTGAGATGTACATTACTTACTAAGAAGAAATGTTTGGAGCAGGCAGAGACCTCTAAATAATGAACAAAGGATTTCTTCTTGTGAGAGAGAGAATTTTAAAATGCTCTCTGAAAGTTTCTGCGATGAAACATCTGGTTAGTGATGCCGTATGCTGCCCCTGAAAGCTGGACGCTCAGGTATTAAAAGTAATAAAATAAGTAATTTTCAGTTCATAGTTTTTATTAATCAAGTGAATGCAATTGATAACAGTTTGGGAGCCACTAAATTTGAGAACTGTTTATATAATTTGAAATGTCTCTTCAGGGTGGACCAGCACTCTAAATATAAAGAATTTTAAATGTACACGTATTTTAGCAGGTTTGCTTCCAGCTGCGGATGCTTTTGTAGACAGCTAGCTTAAAATGCATATGAATCTGTAAACATTACTGCTGTCTTCAGCTGGATATCAGGTGATCCTGAACGTAAGCTGATCCCTCACCCGCATCCAACCCCTCGTTTTTTGTTCTGCCCAGAAAGGAGAGAGGCACAGAGGGACTGAGAGCTGCGTTTCGGGTGTAATTTTATATTCAAAGCCAGGCTTGCAGAACTCCATAGAACTGTCCCTGTAGCTCAGCACCCCAAAGGAAGGTTAAACTCCATGTTCAAGCCAGGTACTGCAAGTTCTGCTCCTTATTCTACTGAATTCTTGCAGACCTTGCAAAACCCACTGCCTTGCACTAGGACAAGTTCCTGCCTGCAGAAACCGTCAGGATCTTAGCTGTCTGCGTGAAGCCGTTGCTGCTGACACACATTTTCTCTGCTTTTTTCCACAAATACGTACAAATTACTACCATTTTTCAGGTAGTTTTTTTTTTTTTTGATGTGTGCCGGTGAGGAGCGTGTTCGCTCTGCGTGCTGAAGGGTACGATGCCAGCAGACGTACCCTGCCACACCGCAGCGCTGGTGTTTTGGCCGAGTAGTAGTACCCGAGTACCAAGGGGGGGATGGGGCAGCTTTGTGGCCCCGTTGAGAGACTGCTGGTACCTGAGGTCTGCTGTAAACTTGTAAAGGATTGGGAAATAAAAAGTTCCCCTGCGTAAAGCCCACGCATTTTTCTCAGGAGCCGACACTTCGGAGTTGGGCTGTCCGTTCGTTTTGTGGTGGCCGTTCCTCGTACGCGCGGTCCTCAGGTGCCTGGCTTTGCCGTCCTGTGGTTACAGTGCACACCTTGAAGCTGTCGAGCAGGCGTGGGCTGTGAAATCTTTCTGTTAAATCTCAAACTTTGTTTGGGTGTTTCTCAGGAAAGTGACATGCCGATCCAGGAGCTGCTTAGCCGCTATGGCTATGACGGTACCATTCCACTCCAAGAAGATGATGATGATGAAGACGACGAAGAAGAGGAGGAGGACGGAGAAGACGATGACGATGTCGATAATGATGACAACAGTGGCTGTAGTGGTGAAAACAAAGTAAGTGTTTACACTAATCAGAAACTGATTTTCGTTCAGCCGTTCTGTACTAGGCAACCACTCAACGTGCCAGATCGTGGCAGAAGTAATTCATAATGTCGTTGATTCCAGATGCTCTGTGTACTGAACGCTGTTTATTCTTAATTATCCATCTGCACTTCTCTTCATTGCTCTTCATCTGTGTCATTCCACACTGTTGCTGCAGCAAATTAGGGTACATGTATCTGTACAGCATCATGTGAGAAGGAGTGGGAACAGCCCTTCAGAAAGAGTCTGACTTCAGAACTGAAGTTTGAAGTGCCGGAAGGCAGCTTCGTAGATGCGGCTGAGTGCTCGTTTCAAGACAAAAAGCTGATCTACTGAAACTCAGCAGTGGAATTGAATTAAATGTGTCTCTGAGTACTGGAGGTGGCTGCAAGTTTGCTAGCTTTAGCAAGTTAAATTGCACTTTTTCAGCCTGGCAGCCCTGGTGGTACTTAAATTGTAAACTGAATCTAATGCATCAAGTGACTTTGCAAAATGTATAGTTTTGAACTTCGCATCTTTAAAATCCTGTTCTGTGTGCTCTTAAAATAAATTTTCTGATTTTACAAGAGTCCTTTCTACTTGTGTATGTCATACATAAATGTACCAATCCTGTCCTGTCATGGACGCAGCTGTAACTTCTCCGTTACCGGGAGCATTCAGAGCTGCATCGTGAATGCTATTAAAATCTGAAACCCTTTGTATTGTCAGTAACAAAAAAGCTCAGGCATTAATGGAAGTTGCATTACCTCATCTGGCTTTAAAAAGGGTGCATTTTGTTCTTTGGTATCTTACCCATTTTGGAGTCTCTGGAGTGCGACGCAGAGATGAGGAATGATATATCTCTTTCCGAAAATGAAGTTCTTGGGGTTTACAAACTCCCTTGACAGATGCTGAAAAAGATGCTATTTGTGTGGGTTGAATGGTTCAAAAAGAAGAAAGATTCTTGGTTCTGTTACATGGGAAAAGGCTCAAGAAGCTGGAGAGGGGTTACATAACCTGAAGTATATGAAATGAAGACACAAAAGTGGTTTATTTTGTTGCGTGTGGTGATGTTCCCAAAGTCTCACTGGTTTCTTGTGACCTCGCTCCTTAATCGCTTCCTGACACAACTTCCATCTTCTGCGTTCTCACGACCTCCTCTGCAGCTCGCCAGTTCTGTTCCTGGCTGGTTTAACAGACTGCCGAGCTTGGCTCTCAAATGGAAGAATCCTCAGCGTCAGTCACTGCTGTTAGCAGCGCGAGGACTCGTCCTCGTCCCTCCGCGGGGCACTGGCGCTTTGGAGCGCTGCAGAAGCCGGCGTGTTCCTGCCCGTCAGCAGCCAGGGTTCACGGCCTGGCACCGCAGGCACAGCCCGGGGGTGAGCCTGACTGCGGGCCTGGCACTGGGCTGGACTGGATGTGCGTGTTCGCCCGTGCCACCCCAGTTCACAGAATCACAGAATCACAGAATAGTAGGGATTGGAAGGGACCTCTGTGGGTCATCTAGTCCAACCCTCC